ATTTGATCCTGAATCATTGGGCATGTACCTATTGTAAAGCAGGAGTAATGACAGAGCTCTGAAGGACAATTTGTGTAGGCCCTATAGATCTCAAAATCAATGAAGTGCTTCAGAAAATAATGGAAACCACAAATGTCATCATAAGGAAGGGCATTAATGTCAAGTAACGGACAAGAGACATGACTGACTCAACTAATGTGAAACTGAGGTGACTGTACATTGAGGGAGCAGTGGTACTTCACTGATCTTGCAACAGAAGTCTTGCTATATTGTGGTGCCTCGAATAGGGGATACATCCAAAATCATATGTGGGGATTTTTTCTGTTCATACAAAATGGGTGAATTTATGAAATGGTGCAGTGTACTATATTTTACTATATTAGAACAGACTGAATAAAAGATGGGTATGTGGCTGATGACAAAAGTTGGTCTGCTGTACGTTGTAGGTTATTGCTGTTGAGAGGCTCCATGTCTTTTTGCTATGACTGCCCCCACTATCTTCCTGTGTTTTGCCCAGGAAGCTGTAGGTTCAGGAGCTGTAGTTTGTGCTTGGAGGGTGATCTGCCTATGTTGGTGTGGCAGTGCTCCAGAGCATTTATGTGGCACCTGCACTGGCAGCTGAAGGTGCTGCACTCTAAGGAGGGAGTCCCAGAGAGGAAGGCAGTGAAATACTCTCTAGAAGGAAGAAAGGTGCTTTTCAGGACCTTGCTAGCACAGATGAAATATTTAATTGTCTCTTGCCTGGTTTTGAGTTTTCTAACTGTAGCAGCCACCATCTGATATGCTTAAAATGGGTGGTCTTTCTACTGGGGGTCATCTTGAAATTGTAATTCCGTCCCATCCCAGAAAATCCTATATCCCGGACATTAGCCAGATTCCTGTCTTGTTCTTTGGGATTTTGAAAAAAGTCTGAATTTTGTCAAGGCCTATGCTATTGGATCATATCTCTGTATCAGAACACCTTCTAGTTTATCTTTGCTATAGAATAATATTAGGCAAAGTTGCAGTTAGGAAAAAACCCCAAAAAACAAAAAAGCAAAGTGCAACACACATAAAACGCCCCTCAACTCAGGGAAGAAACAAAATCAGCTTTTTTTTTTTCTTCTTTTTTTCCTTTTTTTTTTCTTTTTTAATGTTAGAGGGCCTTTATTCTCCAGTAAGTGTATCTGGTTGCTTATTAAAAAGTATGTGTCTTTTACTTAAAGATTTACCAAAGTATTCTCTTTGCTCTTCTGTTGGGTGGCACACTATGAAAGGGTTGAGTATTGAAAAAGGAAAGCATCAGAGGGAAGATTTTCAGTTATAATGTAAGCTTTGAATCAGCAGCATCAGAGACAAAACTGGATTAATATAAATCCTTTAAGGGATAAAACACATTTGTAGATTAACCCTGACCTCTGCTTAAAAACTCCCAAACTCTCTTTTCTGTATTGATTTATCTAAACAGGGCTGCCTGGCTGCACACAATGAAATGTATCCTCTGCAGGTCAATTAGCAGGCACCTGGATAAGATTCAGGCTGCTGTTAGGCACAGAAATTCCCATCAGATGCTTCTACAGGTGGTTGCTGCATGTTTGCTAGCAATATGAATATTGTATTTAGAAATGTGGAGTAGATGGTGTGAAACACCTGACAGATACAAATCTTGTATTTGAAGTGGACAGCTTTATTGGCTGCTGTTCTCTCTGAGATGGAGAAAAGGGGGAATCTATTCTAACTTTTTGATTTAAAATGAGAGAGAACTATTTAGGGATGATTGATGGTTGAAAAGGGACTTAACAAGTGCTCTGCATGTCTATATTACCCTAGATAATAGGTTAAACAGGAAAGAGGGTCTTCTGAATTTAAAGGCACTAAACATCATTTTATTGCAAATGAGAAAAATCTGTGCAAGTATGACATGGATGTGTTCATTTATATTCTAGACCAGACTGAAAGATCATTCTATGAATTATTAATTCCAGTGTAGATGTGTGCCAACCTGAACTATTGTCTGTGTCATGCTACATTTCATAATTTTTCACATCTTGAAGAGAGATATTTTGAGTCCATTCTAAAGCTGTTCCATGTCCACTCACCCCCAAAATTTAATGTTACTGTAGAAAAAAATGAGATTATATCAACCTGTTCAGTACCGTATGTCGAGTTGCATCTGTCTTGTACCCAGTGGAGTTGTAATTGGGAAGGTCACCAGATTTTTTTTAATGTCAGGAAATTTCTTACGAACTGAGGATATAATTATGTCTCTGTAGAAGCAAAGAGCAAAAATTATTTTGATTTTTGTGGAGCTAGCATTTTACTTGAACTTTTCTACATGTTTACATTTAGGTTACGCTCCAAAGGACACAGAGAACAGATGGGAAAATCATTCAACCTGCCTGTATCTCGAGTTTCCGATCTATACAACTGGGTGGATAATATAAACACGAGTTATATTAAGAGTTATGAATGTTAAACCACTTGTCAGCTTTGAATTGAGATATAATCAATATGAAGTTATTAGACATTGTATTATCAGTAAAGATTTATAAACATAGAGTTGTATTGTATTATTGACCATAAACGTGTCTTTTATCTAGAGTTTATCAAGTAAACTTCACTAGGGGAGGAATCCTGGTTCTCATATAGTGAAATATATTGAGGATACAAACTGACTGCAAGAGCTGATTGCATAGGTGCAAGGCCCAGCTGCTTTTTAAATGCCTGTAGTTGAGCAAGAGGTAAGACTAGAAGAAATATAAGTGTATTGTGTAGTTTCCATTAAATGTGAGAACTTTTTACCATCTTATATTACTGTTAAGCTTTCAGTGTTATTTATTTAGATTTTTTGAGAATATACCATTTCTGTTCATCTATCAAATGCACAGTATTTTTATACGTTGAACTTTCTATTGGCGTTCAGCAAGCAAAGTGTTTTGATATTTACTACACTCTTATTACTTTTATGAAATGAGAAACTGTAACCTCCCCAAACCTGCAGACAGGTTAAATTGCCTTGAAAAAAAAATCAGTTGGAAAGGCCAATTAGATCATGCCCCTGTCTTGCAAGACATACATTCTTGAAAGCAGACAGACATTAAATTGAAGTGACACTTACTGTTAGACTGTAGGCAGTTTCTCTGGGAGAAACTAAAGTGCTACTTGTTTTTGATGTGTTTAGTTACAGGACTAAGGTAAGTCTATAAAATCGAAGTACTTTACTGTTCTTAAAGGCATTACAATTTTACAGATGTTGGTGTATAAGCTAGGTTTTTATAAAGGTGTAATACATGTTTTAACATAAATTAAGTATACAATATAGAGCCCTTTCTTTATCTGTTTTCTGAGTTAGCTCTACTGTTCAGTAAAAGTAGCTTAATAAAGTGGTTTTTTTGTATAGCATACTGTTTATGGATTGTTTAGACCATTCCTGGGATACACTTTCTGTGTGGCTTTTATGGTGAAGGAGGATGTAGCAGGTTATATAAGCAAAATAAGTAGGCACGAAATGTGAGTGGAGGTTTTATGTATGAGAAAGAAGAATTCACTTTCTGGCAATCAGACATGTCCAACAGTCCATTTTAAAGGATTATTGGATGTCTTGGGTGTTTGGTAAGGCACAGAGCCAGCAAGAAAGTAATCTCTTCAGAACAAAGGCTGTTGTTTGTTAAAAAGAGTAAGCTATTGCTATTACAGCTTAGGAACTGTGAATGTTACTGACTAATAAATGCCTTGGGGCCAGTTTCCTCAGAGGTAGGATGAAGTGTAGGCTCACCACACCTGTCTTACTCTCTAGATCATTATAAAAATAGTAGCAGTAAAAATGATGCTAAATAGTAGGTCACTGGGACTATGGAGGATATTAACTTTTGTTGTGGTTTTACCATACAAAAAATTATGAAGAATGCATTCATTAATCTTGACTGGAAGAAAGCATGAGCATGAGGTAAGACTTTTGGAAATGACTGCTATGGTATTTTGGATCCTTTGCAGTGAATTTTTTTTTTTTTTTTTAGATTATCAAGACTATGTTACTGGCAATTAGAGATAGTGTCTCCTTTTGGTAATTTGTCTTATCCATAAAGGCCGAACAGTATGAAGCATTTATACCAGAACTGCTGTAAGGAAAACTTGGAGATATACGGCTTACTCTAAAATAAATGAAAACTATTAATTTAAACTAGTGAATATAAAAAAGAATTATTTTGGCTGAAAATTGGAAAAGGATTGATCTTGTACGGAAAGTCAAATTTTTGAAAAAAAGTAGGAGAAATCTTTGGTTTTCACTAAGCTCCTCTTTTTACCAGACTTGCAGCCATACATAACATCTTCTGGGGCAGAACACATCTATAAATATGTATCTTCTTGAGGAGTTACAAAACCAGTGGAACTCTAAGTGAATAGGGGAAGATAATTTTATTTCTTCTCTGTTTTCATGAATTTAATTAATCTTTAATGGTTTTTATCTCATGCTGATGTGTATATCATTAGATAGTTAACATTCATATGTGTAATTGAAACACAGGAAGCAGTAGGAAGCCTTAAATAAAAAGCAATGACAATTTGATTAAATTTTTTTGGTGGTTTTGTAGTCGTTGTTGTTGTTTATTTGTTCTTTGTTGTTCTTTTTTTGCTTTGTTTTGGTGTTTATTGTTTTGTTTATTCGGATTTTTTTTTTTTAAATGCTTTCTTGGTTAACATTTCCCTCTAAACTGTGTGTGCTGCAACTCTTAAAAATTAATGTTTATTGATTCCTTACATTAAAATACTGTTTTCACCATAAAACTTCAAATACTCAGTAACATCAAAGTATACGAATTATTTGATTTCTCTGTAAGTAAGAATAAAGTTTTGGGGTTTTGCATGAATATATTTTGAACTACGTAAATGTAAACAATTTATTACATTAATTTCTCTCTGAATGTTATAGTTTCCTTCGAAATGGTTTTCAAATTAAGGCTTTTATATATTTACATGTGTTTATCTGCATATTATTCAGGATTATGAAAAATCATCCTGAAACAACTCTTTCTGGTTACAGTGCTGCAATTGGCATGGCACTTTGGAAAGCCCAAATATGTCACTATGGCATTGTTGTGTTACCATCCAGGACTTCCCTCAGGAATAATACAGTAAATACGTTTTTCAAGGAGATAGAAATGTTCTTCCATTAAGGTATGCTAGTATAAGCTTCCTTTTTGTTTTCTTCAGCTGTGCCATGATGTTGGGGAATGTAACCCCTGTTTGTAGACCTCTTCTTATTTTGTTATCATATTGCTTGAATGACATGGCTGTGACCAAGTGTGTGCCTTAGTCTTGGCTATTCATGCACGGTGATGTTGACTGACAGCCAGGAGTCCTCTGTAGTCTCCAGTGTTGAATAGCTGGGATAAATAGATGACATGAGATAGTCTGTAAAATAATATTCTCTTGTGTTTGGAATGCCTGTGTTCTGCTTGCCTAACAGGGTGATATAAACCACCACAAACTTTTGTATTAATAGGACTGCATCACTTCATACCACTTCAGGATTCTGAGAGGGGTCTAAAACAGAAAAAGTGAATTCAACATTCATTTAAATTTCAAAATTAGTTTTCCTGGCTGTATTTGATCAAACTAAGGTTCTTTATAGGTTTCTGTAATGAACATTCATTGCTGAATGTCAACATTTGTGTTTCTGTTGTTTTTGCTCTCTGTAAGTGTGTGAGCTTTTGAAAAAATCTTATTTCAAGAGTTGAGGTTTACTGCAGGTTGTAAAGTTTAAATATGTTATCAGTAACCAAATCCACAGCAGAAATTTAAAGTTTTAGGAGTTTCATTGATTCAGTCTGGTATCAAAATTAGTTACATTGGGTGCTTTTAATCAGAGAAAAATACCAGACCCTAAAGTTCAGATTTTAAATAGGCAGCAACAGTAAAATGAAATGCACTAAATGTTTCAATGAGGATTTTTGAAAAAAATCCCAAGTATTTGGAGAAAATGCTGAGTGAGTACTTTCTAAGGAAATAAAAACAACACTCAGCTGAAAAATTGTGAAGAGTTAAAATCTTAAAATATTGGTGACATGTCATTCTGTAACAGTTAGTTCAGGGAAATAATGTGTGTAGGAGTTCTCTCCATACCATACTTCTTCTGCGTTATTATTCTTCTGCCTGGTAATTATTGGTATTAGTCTCTAAAAATATGGCATGTATGTGCAAGTGTTTAGGTGAACTTACTATGACTTTATTACTTACATGAACTGTGTTGTGGCTTGGTTTTTTTTCTTATTTTTAACCTTGAAATCATTAAGTAGAAGGCAATTTAGGATTTCTGAATTATAAAACAGCTAAAATGGTGCTAATTCCTGTTTTCAGCACAAGTGAATTTTAGTAAGACCTTAAGGAACATGAATATAGCATAGCATACTTTTGAAAAATAACTTTGAAAATGCACTTTAAGCTCTTGAATATTTTAGGAATTTTTATAAGTTTTACTCATTGTAGGTAATTTCTCAACTGATTGAGGCAAAGAGGGTTTTTATCTATTTATCTCAAAAGTATTTGACTCAATTATGGCATTGAATAATGTCATAGATCATTGAATCTAATCAAAGGCACATTTAACTTCCAGTATTGTCTGCAACACTGACCAGCACTGGATGCTTATGAAGACGACATGCATTGAAATATCGAGCTTAAGGTCCAGACAAGGATAAGTGTGAGATATTTTCTGGTCCAAAGGAATGTCATTCTCCATTTAATCTTTATTAAAATAAGTGCATAACTACCTCTTTAATCTGATGTACATTAATTCTTTTAAATCCATGATTGGTTTCATCAGTGAGACAATTTTACTTCCATCAGCATGAAAAGCATAGTAAAGGTGGCATTTATATGGCAACTGATACTAAAAACAAAATGAGATCAAAGTAATTGTTTTTCAGTAGTGTCAGAAGTCCTTCACTTAATGTGAAGGCCCAACCTAATTGTGCTCAATTTGTCTCTATTTCCCCACTGTCAAACTTCGCAGTGTGGTGTTCAGTCACGCTGCACAGGATGTGCATGCACGAGTCTTCATGAGCCAGCATGTATCCAAGGTCATGTGAATTTGAGCTGTAAAATATTCCTACAGATGATTCTTATTTGACGGGGAAGGGAAACATTAAGACCATTGGAAAATTGGGACTGGATAGTCTCTTTCTGTTTTCAGGTTTCTTTTATGAGAGTAATTTTTTCTACTGGTCATTTACAGATTTTCTGGCTAATAGTCATCCATTCTGGTGTTGGGTTCCAGAAGATGTTTATCTGTTACTGAACTTCTTTTCATCAGTCATATTTTTATAGGCTTATCTCTTCTTACAGGATAAGTCAGCTGGCTGGCTTTTGATTTTTTTTTTTGTTATTGATCTGGCTGTGAAGATGCTGTCTAAGAAGACAGTTCACTGAGTTTGATAACTGATCTGCAGTTTAAATGTCAAGAATCTAGTCCGTCAAAGTGGAAGTAGATGCTGAAATTGGCAATGCAAAGTAATCTGGATCATATTTTTTCACTGACAGCAGTGTTCCTGTAAAAGCCTTTCACCAGCAGACTCGGCTGACCAAGAGAGTTAATCAGCCCAGAATGCAACTGTATCCTGGGCTGTATCAAAATAAGTGTGGCCAAAAGGTCAAGTGAGGTAATTTTCCCCCTCTACTTTGCCCTGGTGAGACCCCACTTGGAATGCTGTGTGCAGTTCTGGGGCCTCCAGAAAAAGAAAGACATGGACCCACTACACCAGGTCCAGAGGAGGGCCACAAAGATAAAGGAACACCCTTGCTGTGAAGACAGGCTGAAATAGCTGGGGTTGTTCAGCCTGTAGAAGAGAAGTCTCCAAGGAGACCTTGCTGCAACTTTTCAATACATAAAGGGCTCTTACAGGGAAGAGGGAGGAGGACTTTTACAAGGGCATGCAGTGACAAGCTTTTTAAACTGAAAGAAGAGATTTAAATTAGATGTTATGAGGAAATTTTGTACTGTAAGGGTGGTGAGGCACAGGTTACCCAGAGAAACTGTGGATTCCTCATCCCTGAAAGTGTTCAAGGCCAGGTTGGATGGAACCCTGAGGAACCTGAGCCTAGTGGGTGGCATCCCTGCCTATAGCAGGGCCTTGGGTCTGGATGATTTTTCCCTTCCAACCCAGGCCATTCTATGATTCTGTGAGTGTCAAGTATACAGCAGATGGGAAAAATTGTGTATGAAAATATCTATTTTTGAAGCTGATTTAATAAACTGGGTTAAATATTCACTAGCTGCTGGAAAATAATCTCTGCACTGTTTTTTATTTCTAGTGAAGATAGAAGGGTATGATTCCTCACACAAGCACACCTCTCTTTTTCCTTGGAGGAAAGAGACAACTCCTTCTTTCTAAGTACAGTTGTGCCCTTGAACCTCTGAATGCACTTTGCCTGGCTGGTGCATGGGTACTGAATATGTATGCTGTGCCCAGAAGGGTTCTATGTAGCACATTTAGTATGGAATGACATGAGCTGAAAAAATGTGTTGGGCTGCAACATTCAGGGGCAAGCAAGCAAGAAGACCTGTAGTTTGTGGTTCAGTTATTTTTTTTCTACATATTTCCACTGAAGTCTGCTTTCAGACAGAAAAAACCCCATTTGATCCCATGATCCCTAGAGAAATTGAACTGTGAGAACCTTACTTCATGAAGCTGAGCTTCATGAGAAGATGTGCTCATTTCAGTCATGCTCTTGGATAAATTTAAGCAGTCTACTTCTGTTAGGACAGAAGGAACAAACTACACCTAAAGGTTGTTTGCTCATCTTCTTTCTTCTCACTACAAAAGAAAAACTTGGGGAAGTTGCTTACCCACAGGTGATGTCAGCATTCTGTTTTTATTTAAGAGGTAGCTGTGGTGAACAGACATATATGTTGATGATAACCTCAGGTGGTGTAGCCACCAGCTTCCGTCCAGTGTGCAGTTATGTGACTTCGCTGGCACAAAAAATGACAAATGGATTCCAGAGAACAAAAGCATCCCAGCTCTAGGCTCTTGATTGCCAACCGGAAAGGATATCTTTGTCCAAAGTCAAGCAGGAAAATGTATGTGAATGTGGAATTAAGTAGTAGTATTTATTTCCAAGGTTTTGCAAAAATGTGTGAGGAATATATCTTTTGGGTAACTTGTCTGCCATTTTCAGAAAGGATCAGATGGGAGTAAAACAGGAGATTTAAAGAGAATGGACCTAGTGTTAGTTGCACAGGTACTAAGGCTGTGGTAGCACACTATGAGAAAAATCCAACAAGTTTTCAAAAAACCCCAAATAGGTATAGAACTTATATTTCTTTTCAGTTATCTGGAAGAAATTATTCTAACTGTGCCCACAAAAGAAACAAAACAAAATTTCAGTGTGGAAATTCAATGTTTTAGCAATACCTAAAGAGTATGTCTGCTTCACAATCATGCCTCTCTCCAATGTCATTGAGAAATACATTAATATTTAAATTATGTTATGTGCTAGGCTGGATTTACAGCAACTTAAAAAACTTCATTTAGTTTTAGATACATGAAAAATCATTTATCTTTCCTTAAAATGAATTTTTGCAAAACAGGTTTAGCTCTCCAAATATACTTGGATAATTTCCCAATCAAGGTTACACCTCACTTTCTTGAACAGCAGGTATGTTGCTGAGACATCCTTTGATTTGGGTATCTATCATGTTTCTCACTCATTCTCTGAAGTATCATCTCTGGAAGATGGGACTCTTGGGTATTACAGTCAACTTCGCGAATGCAGATTTGTATATACTATCACTCTTATTCTCAGGAGTATATGTCCCAGATTATAATATCACAGTGCTTATGCTAAGAAACCAGGTTTGTCTTGTGACTAACGTGGTAGAGATCTATGTGTGTGCTTTGTCATTTACCTGTATTGCAGGGGAGAAACTACGGTGTAACTCTCAGACTTTCTAAATCTGCTGTTAACACGGTATAGCCCTAGAAATTTGTCAATGCATTTTTCTTGATGGTGCTTTCTGGACCATGTTTTTTAGAAAGACAAGTACAAAAATTTTGCATGTCAGGAAAGATATTGGTGTAATTTGCATTTCTTCAGGAACAGACTGCTCCAGTGTGGGTTCTCCATGGGGTCGTAATTCCTGCCAGCAAACCTGTTCCACAGTGGGCTCCTCTCTCCATGAGTCCACAGGTCCTAAGAAGAGTCTTCTCCAGTGTGGGCTTCCCATGGAACCACAGCCTCATTTGGGCATTCAACTGCTCCAGTGTGGGGTCCTCCATGGGCTGGAGGTAGATCTCTGGTCCACTGTAGACCTCCATGGGAGGGGGGTGGCTGCCTCACCATGGTCTGCACCATGGGCTTGCAGGGGAATGTCTGCACCTGGAGCACCTCCTCCCAGTCTTCCACTCACCTTGGTGTTTGCAGGGCGAACATTTTCTCACTTCTCTCTTCTCTGGCTGCAGTTGCTACTGTGAAATAAGTTTCACCCCTCCTTAAGTCTGTTATTGCTGAGGTGCTACCACCATACCTAATGGGCTCAGTTTTGGCCAGTGGCGGGTCCATCTTAGAGCCAGCTGGCACCAGCTCTATTGGACATAGGTGAAGTTTCTTGCAACTTCTCACACAAACTACCCCTGTAACCCCCTCCACTACCAAAGTCTTGAGAAACACTATACAAAGATTCAGCAAGTGTAAACCACTATGTCTCGCACTAGAATTGTATCAGCAGCAATACTCAGGCCTTTAATACTGCAGTGTAAAAGAAAAATGGAGCCTATTATTCATAAAGTATTGGAGGTGCCAAAATTCAGATCCCACAAATCCTCTAATCATCATTTTTCAGCTAGTAGAATGCAAGAGAAAAGGGCATTGTAATTGAACTATCACTCCATGCCTTTGAATTGAAAATTTTTTATTGTATTACATGTCAGGGGGCACACACCCTCTTCTCCAAAGAATAGTGAATCTTTTAGGCCCATTATGCCATTCCAATTCAATGGTATTTAATGTCTATTGCCATTTAACTGCTTTTAAAGTTGCCAGCCAAATTAACACATTGCCCTGAAATGCTGCCTTGGGATTTATGTTGGTTAAATCTCTCAAATGTCAAGCAATTTTTGTTTCCTAATTCAAACATAAGCTCTACAAAACCTTAGGAGTACAACTCATCTCATTTTTTTCTCATATTCTTTTGGTTTGATTTTGGTGAGACAGAAAGTCACTAATCCAGAGCTTTGCTGTAAATATGAATGGGAATTGCAATGTGTGAGGAAGCAAGGAAAACTATGGGGCAAATTATGCTATGAAACAAGTATTGGTTTCATAGTGTTATTTAGTTGGTATAGTTTAGGCAACAATTAAGGTTTTATTCATGACCAAGAGCTTTAATTAGGTATTCAGTTAACCTTGGTGATGAACTCCTGACCCATTTTTTCTTAGATAATTTTTCAATTGAAAGTAATTGCAGGAAAGACAAGGAGGAGATGTATGTTTCAGAATGCTCTGCTGATGCTACTCTGGCTGCTTCTATCATATAAAACAAAAACTGGTAAAATCACATGTTCCAAACTTTGTGAAAGTACTTTGAAACTTGATGTATGAAAATAATTTTGAAATGAAATTTCTTAGACTTGTTCACACCCTCTGTGGAAGTACATCCCCATACTTACTTTGAGCTGAATCTGTATTTTATTTTTTCTTCCAAATACTATTATTAAAAGTAATTTGCCGCAAATCTACAGCTGACGAGTTTGAATTAAAGCATTGAAGTCTG